AAATGGGTATTTCATGTAAAAACGATATCGGTTTGGCATGACCTGAAATTTACATGGCCGGATCGATTTTACGGGAACATTTATATAACTTCACATTTATTCCAAATAGATTACAAATTATTTAATCAGAAGTACTTAGAAGTAAATAACTATTTATCACCTTTTAACATTTATCAACCTATTCTTAGGTCATGAACGCCCCCAAGGAGTACTATCCCGTGGGTTACGACAAAAACTTCGACGACAACTTTAAATCCAAAGTGGACCTGCCACAGACGAGCTTCTCCTGTGCAAAGCAAAAGCACTTTCCGGGTCTTTATGCCGACACCGATCTAGGATGCATGGTAAATTGGAAGAATACTTCAAGATTTATGTTTCCCAATACCTATCTCATCTTTTTTCCGGCAGGTCTTCCACGTGTGCGCCCTTACCGACGACGGCATGGTGCGGAAGTCGTTCCTCTGCCCGGAGAACACACTCTTCGACCAGACGATTCTCAAGTGCAACTGGTGGTTCTACGTCGACTGCAGCTCCAGCACCAGCGTCTACGACTCGAACATTCCCATCTCGAAGAGCTACCAGCTGATGAAGTCGCTCACCTACTTCTCCAAGTTTGCCGGCGGCCAGCGGCCGGAGCAGGATGGCGACAAGGATGAGAACGCCCTGGACATTGACTCGCTGCGGGAGTCGATGGAGGGCGTGATGAGGCGCCAGGAGCAGGCCAAGAAGGCGGAGCGGCGGGAGGAGGAGGAGCAGCAGCCCAAGGAGGACCATGAGCACGTGGTGCCCGCGGAGGCGGAGCAGCAGCTGTCCAACTAGGCTTCTCTAGGCCCAACCCAACGCTATCTGAGATCTAGGTTAAGTGTTCACGATCGAGCGTCTCTGGTCGGTTAGCAGTACGTAGTCAAATCCTTGCTCAAGTCAACGGAGTTTTCTATAGTCTCATCACGTATTCCACAGAAAAATAATATCCCCTAATTGGTCACCGATTCGGATTTCATTCAGCTTAAAATTAAATTTCAAAATATCAAAATAGTTTTCTTCATATCTTCATAAGCTAAAGTAGTTGCTAGACGAGATATGACTAAGATTATTTTGACCAGAAAATAGTGGACACTAGGGAACTGATATTGTTATGATTTTTTCACTGTTTAGTCTCATCACTTCCTGGGGCAGCTCCCGTGCTGCCGAGCGCCCCTTAGATGTAGTCTTTTCCTAGCTCCTTAGGTGGATAAGCTCTAGTTCAGCCCATCACCAAGTGCAATTTGGTTTGGGTGGTTAATTTTATTACGTTTTACTATTTATTTATTCTACAAGTATTTTGCGACAATTAAACATCGTTCGTTTCAACAAATTATTTCTTAAATACATGAATTTTTCCATTTCTTTATTCAATGGGTGGTCATCTGGAAATTTTGGGTTGATCTTCATAAAGGAGAACCAATCAAAGTTTAATTTTTTCCTCCCTTCATGCTCCTTAACACGCGTGCCTTTAATTAATAAAATATCACCAGGCCTAATATCAAATTTAAAAGCCTCCTCATTCCACAGATTTAACATGATTTCGACCGATTTCTCGCTGGAGTCCAAAAGAATCAGTTCTCGAATCAGGTAACCTCCCCTGGTTACCGGATCATCTACCTTCTTGCAGACGCCAATTGTGTCGACTACCGAGAAGGTCGACTTATGAAGAACCTTCAAGAAGGGCGAAAGTTTAACTTTCATTCCAGCAATATCTGAATCCATTTCACTCTCTTCTACGAGTGTTCCCTCACAAAATAGTATCTGATAGGGATTACGCACTATTTTGTACCTTAAATCCGATCTCTGAACAGAGAATCTCTCGAATAAGTACACTCTCCCTGGTTTAATTTGATTGTAGAAAGTGTCGCACAGATCATTGAATACCACGCCAGTAATTTCACCAGATGAATCCAATAAATTCATTAGGAAAATTGTACCCGGCTCTCCGTGAATTTGGGAATTCCATTCTGTAATTTTTGTCTTGTACACAACGCGGGCTCTTATACGTTGAAAATATATTGATGTAAGTTCCAACCTGGAAATGGGCTGGTCACCCCAATAAAATGTTATCAGTATAGTTAGGAAGATTTGGCTTATTCTAGGTTATAGAAAAATCTTTGAAATTATTTAGTCTATTTTATTAAGATAAATCTTTTATTAGGTTTTTAGTGCAGGGTACAGGAAATATTCACAACTTTTTCACATCTTGGATTAAATTGTATCAAATTATTTATATCTTATCTTAAAGGATATATATCTTTCGGTTTCTGGAAGTGTTTTCTTCATATTCAGCACAGAGCAAGTTAAAATCTTTGAAATACAAAAGGAAAAACTTCTTATTGCAAATAATTGTGAAATACAAAAGACACTCAGAAAACCCCTTTGAACTTCATGCGTTGATTACAACTTGTAATATAATTCACATGTCGTGGCTTCAGTAGGAATACATTAAAGCTTTTTGTAGGCTTATCTTGGTCTGAGAGAGCATAATTAATGCATCGAAAGCGCGCCGGGCAACTCTTAGGAAAATGTAGTACGTCATATAAATCTGTTCTACACACAAAACAAAAAAGTAACAATTAAAAGTTTTTTTTAGTTTTTAAGCATTTTATTTTCTTTTTAGTATATATCAACATACATAGATACATAAAACATTTCTATTTTACATTTTGAAAATATATAGATGAGAAAGGTCGAATTACAAAATTTTAATGACAATATTTATTTTTTTTTAATTTAATCTTTTCTTTAATTTTCATCTTATTTTTAATTTTTATCTTTTTTTGAATTTTCATCTTTTATTTTTAATTGATTTTCGTGCCATTCACGCAGATCAATGACTTCTGCAATATTAGGATTGATAAGTAAATTGGAATACCAGCTGGCGTTCAGTTTTTTTTCATTATTATGAAGCCCGACACGCGCCCCTTTTACTACGATAATATCATTAGGTTTACCCCTAAAGTTGCAAGCCGTCTTTTCCCATAGGTTTAACATGACTTTTTCATTGTGAATTTGGGAAGCATCCACAAGTAATATTTCTCGAATAAGGTATCCTCCTCTATCTTCCACATCACCCACGTCCGTGCAGATGCCAATTGTGTCGACCGGCTCCTTTTCTGGCACATCAGAAACCTCGCCAAGCGGCATAAAGGCGTTTCTTGCTTGATCCCTTAGTTGTACAATTGTTGAGTCGGTAAAATATATCTGAAAGGGACTAGACAAAATTTTAAAGTCCGTATCCGTCTGCCTCACTTCTAAATTAATGAAATCGTATTCGCTGCCAGTGTAAATTTGTCGGTCGAACTTTTTGCACTGTTCGTTAAATAAAACGACTGTAATTTCTCCGCTGTTATCCAACAAATTCATGAGGAGGATTGACCCATATAGGTGATCACTGTTCCACTCGGATATCTCCGACTTCCACGTAACGCGAGCTCTGATGGGCGAACTGTGGCAACGTGCTAGTGCCAACCTGGAAATTGGCTGCTCATAGCAAAAAATACATTAAATAAGGGAACGTATGACTTTCCGTTTCAGATTCGGTTGTATCGGTTTGAAATAGGTGTTAAACAATTGATTGATTAAACAAATAACCATTACAAGTTGTATCTAAAACGTCAAATATATTGAAATATGCTTACAGTAATTTCAATAGGATTCATTCTAAAGCAAGAGACTTGAAAAATCTTCACAATTCGTCTGTAGAACAAAAAAGTATTTAAAGATACTTGTGAAATTCAGAAAAAATTGAGTTTAATTGTGTATCAACCGCTCAGTTATTAATGCAAAAACTAACTGCACCCAACCATTTATCGACCGCAGTTTAAGTAACAAAAAGTTTGTGATAGCTATTTCATGGACCTCATAAAACGTCTGGAGTTTTTGCTGGGAATATTAATCTACTCAATTTCTTTGTTTCTTATCATTTAAACCGAAAGAGCAATAACAGCAATAACAAGAAATTCGCTCAGCCGAATTTTGTATACCCTTGCACACTATTCCAATTAAGGAGCTGTCCATATGTTACGTAATCAACCAAATGATTAGTGTAGTGCAAATAAAATTTTTCGTTGTACCAAGTATTAATTACATAGGGGGGTCAAAAATCGCCGAAATTGTGACTACGTAATATATAGACAGCCCCTAACTTACAAAAACATTAAATTTCGATTTACTTTCGTAATTGTTAAAATAATTAACATTTTAGCGGCTTTCGTATTATTTTGGCGTTAATTTTTAAATCCTTCCTATGACAGTTATATAATATAAGCTTAATTCAAAATTTTTAAATGATCAAGAAAACTATATCCCAGAAAAGAAGGGAATATAATAAAAATTCAACAAAGATATAATTTGTTTCCTATTCATTTTCATTAAATTTTCCGACCGTTTCTATGGCAGCTATATGAAAACGCTTCCTGTTATATAATTTTACAAGAATACAATATACCCTTTTACTCTACGAGTAACGGCTTTAAAAAATAATCCGATTATGTCGGAAACATAGAATTCCACGCTTATCAGTTTTTTTCCCACTCACAAAATTATATAATTATAAACAAGAAAACTCTGTAGTCGAAATACTTGACTCTCAGAGGGAGTGCGAGGAAGATGGAGATATGCAATCGTCAGAGCCATTTTTTGGCCATTTCAAAATTTTTTATCTTTTACATTTCGATAGTTATTTTTAAACACAACAAAATGGCATTTGAACTTTTAAAAAATCTGTAAAGATGTGGGTGCCAGGCTTTTTTAAAAGTAATTTAAAGCTACTGTTGCCGTTTGAGTGGTCATCTAGAATATATAGAATATATCTAGAATATATATTATTAAAGATATTTAAAAAAAATATATAAGGTTTGTTAAGTTTTTAAGCATTTTATTTAAGTCTTAGTATATACAATACATACAAAATTAAAAAAAAAATGTTACATTTCGGAAATACATAGACAGAAAAAGGTAGAACTAAACAATTTTAATGACAATATTTATTTATTTAAATAGAATGGTTATTTTATTGACCACCACACTTACAAAAACGTAAATTTTTTACATAATGGACGTTTTATTTATAGATTTTCCAGATATTCACGCCAACTAATAGCTTTTGGAATATTGGGATTGATCTGCAAATTGGTATACCAGTCGGCGTTCAATTTTACTTCCTTATTATGAAGTCGGGCACGCGCCCCTTTCACCACGATAATATCATCAGGTTTACCCCTAAAGTTGCGAGCAGTCTTTTCGCATAGGTTTAAGATGACATTGATAGATTCAGCATCAGTCAGTAATATTTCTCGAATAAGGTGTCCTCCTCTATATTTCGCTTTACGCACCTCTGAGCAGATGCCAATTGTGTCGACTGGCTCATTATCTGGCACTTTAGGAACCTCCTTAAGCGGAAGAAAGTTGTCCCTTGTTCGGTCCCTTAGTTGTACAATTGTTGAGTCGATAAAATATATCTGAAAGGGACTAGACAAAATTTTAAAGTCCGTATCCGTCTGCCTCACTTCAAAATTAATAAAATTGTATTCGCTGCCAGTGAAAATTTGTCGATCGAACTTTTTGCACTGTTCGTTAAATAAAACGACAGTAATTTCTCCGCTGTTATCCAACAAATTCATGAGGAGGATTGACCCATTTAGGTGATCACTGTTCCACTCGGATATCTCCGACTTCCACGTAACGCGAGCTCTGATGGGCGAACTGTGGCAACGTGCTAGTGCCAACCTGGAAATTGGCTGCTCATAGCAAAAAATACATTAAATAAGGCTACGTATGACTTTTTGTTTCAGATTCGCTTGTATCGGTTGAATTAGGTGCTCTAGGAAATCAATAGTTTTATAAAGTTTTTTTGATTTAATCAAATTTTAAACAAATAACCTTTACAAGTCGAATCTAAAACGGCAAATATATTGAAATGTGCTTACAGTAATTTCAATTGGGTCCATTTTAAAGCAAGCGATTTTAAAAATCTTCAAAATTCGTCTATAGAATAAAAAAAGTATTTGAAGAAATTGTGAAATTCAGAAAGAATTGAGTTTAATTGTGTATTAACCGCTCTGCACTTTTTATAACTTTTTTATGAGCCTGGAGATTAAGAAAGAAAATTTTGGAGGAAATATTATTCTACTCAATTTCCTTTGTTTTTCATTATTTAAACCGGAATAGCAAAAACAACAATAAAAATTGAGCTTTTTCTATGAGTCAACAAGTAAACGACGAGAGAAGAACGCACATGCAAATATCTATTAAGAAAATAAGTTCAGACCGTTATTTTATATCTTGATATTAATTCGTTTATGGCGGGATCATAGAATGCATTCTTATCAGTTTTTTTCCCCCACCACACAAAATTATCAACAGCAAAGTATCCGATTGCTATACTATATTATAAATGACTAACCTAATCTGCAAACTTTTAAGCTGGCAAAGCTATTGGCAAGCTTTATTCATAAGTGCGAGTGTTTGTTTCCAAGTATATAAATGCATACATATAAATCTTATCTTTTCTAAGAATTGCAAATCGAATTTAGCAATAAAATTTTATTGCTCAATAAAGAAAATAAATCTATATATGATTGGACTTTTTTAACATCCAAAACTTTTTCTCAAAAAAATTGTAAAACATTTCAACAAAGCTTTTTTGCTATTTGTATATTTTCAACTGTAGAATAAAAAATGTTATAGCCCGGCATTGGGTTATATAATTCCAGCTGGCGGCTTTATTTTTTTTTCCGATCCGGTTTGGTCCGACATACATTGTACAATGTACATATGTCAGCCGAATCGGCATAGATCTGCTGATGATGCTGCTCAAGAATTTTCTTAATGTGTTCGAAACCCAGTGAGCACTGCAAACTTTTGACTGACATTGTAACAAGTAAATATAAAAAAAAACTTACCGATTTTCTCCGATGCTGTGATATTTATTATAATTAGTGTGTAGTCGGTAATATCTAGTTACAATTGTATGCATTTCAACAATTATAAGTACGGGTTGAAGGCATATCGATTTGGAACAAAAATAACTTGTGATAAAACTCAATTCACAATATTTGGATATAACTTACGTAATTTAATGAATACATGAATAGCTTATTTTCTTAGTTTATGGTTTATGGTAAACGCGCTGCGCATGGAAATTAGTTCGAGGAGCCGATGCCGGTGAGCTCCTGCAGCTCTTTGAGCAAGTGCTTGTTGTACTCTTTGTGATTTATGGGGGCCACGGACTGTATGGTGAGCTTGTTGCGCGTCATGTCGCCAAACACCTCGTTCTTGCAGCGCAACTTAAAGATGTGCGAAGTGAAGTTGAGGGCGGAGAAAATCTGCTCGGCCTTGGCAGCATCATTCTCAAGGGCCTCGCCAACTTCTTGCGAAGTGTGCCCGAGGAGCTGCTCGCCAACCTCGTTGAAGCTGCTCACCCAGCGGTTGGAAGTCCAGTCGCCAATGCTCATCTGCAATAGGAGCAAGGATGTTATGTTCAGAGAGATGAATAATAATAATAACACTCACGTTGATTAGCAAACGGTACTTGAAGTTAGGAAACAGTGCATTGCATTTCTCGCAGCGGTACTGATCGTTGCCTTCGTCGACCACCTTCTTGTTGCAGTCGCTTTGGGGGCAGGCGCGGTAGAAGGAGTTCTCCTGCTTGACGATGTGCACCACAGCCTTGCACTGGAAGTAGTCGGGCTTATCGCCGCTGCCCAGGTTGCGAGCCCGCGCATCCTTCAGCGTCATCCACTCGGTGGAGAAGTTGCCACCGCCCGTTCGCGCGGAGACCATGTTGGCGACATTGTCACCACCGCCGTTGTCGAACCAGCCGCGCAGCTTGTGGGCCTCAGGAATGTCCGGGTTGATCTTCATGATGGAGCCGCCGCCAAGGCTCAGCGATTTGCCGCCATTGAACTCATTAATGCGCGTTCCCTTCACCAGGATAACGGGCTGCACATGACCATCAAAGTTGACGGCTTCGTCGCCCCAGAGGGTGAGATTGATGGCCGAATTACTCATGTCCACCAGCGTAATGTCTCGCTTCTTGAACTCCTTGTTTGTGGAGCGAGCCACAAAGGATTGCAGCTCGCCCACCTCCTTGCAAATGCCGATGGTATCCACCGCCGCCTTGTTCTCCATGCCGGACACCTCGGAAATGGGAATCAGGTTGTATTTGATTTCCGGAATCGGATCGTCATCGGTATCCTCGCACAACTGGACAACTGTTTCGCCCGAGAAGGTCATCTCGTAGGCGTTGTTCAGTGACGAGTACTGCTTGTTGGCCGGCTTCAGCTGGCACTTGGAGAAGTAGTAGACGCTGTCCACTTGGATGAGATCGAAGAACTTGTCGCACTGCTCCTTGAAGGCAGTGGCCCGAATCTCGCCCGATTCGTCCATCAGATCCATGCTGAACAGCTTGCCCTCGCCGCGGGCGTTGCTCCAGGTGCGAATGGCCGACTTGGAGGTCACGCGAGCCTTGATCACCCACTTGTTTTGGTAGGGACTCAGGCTGGAAATCGGATGGGTCATGCCACTGCTGATCGATGCATTCATTGCTACATTATTGTTGTTGTTGTTGTTGTGGGTGGGTTCCCGTTTGGCCACTGGCTTGGAAGGCGCTGCCGCCTTGGGCGCCAAGTCCTGCTTGGCGGCATTCTCATAGGTGACGGGCTCGCCAATTTTTGCCTTGACCTCGGCGCCAGGATTCAGGACAGTCAGCTCGGAGATGATTAGAACGCGCCTGAAGGAGGAGTTTATAGGTTAGTTTATTGCCCCGATAATCCAATTAACCCACTCACTTGCCAGCTCCGTCCTTGCCCACCATGGAGGTCACATACTTGTCCAGCTGGACAATGGTGAACTCCTCCAGCTCTCCATTGTGCTGCATCACATTCAGCTGGCTGGCCAGCATGGCATAGCTGTTGAAGTACTTGCCGTCGGAGATGAGGATGCGATAGCGCTCCGCATCCGCGGTGCTGTTGATTTTCTTGATAGCCAGGATCTGGAGCACCGGGCCGTCCACAACCTCGCCGTGCATGATGCGCTGCGCCCGGTAATTCGAGATGTCAGTACAAAAGTTCTTTAATTTCAGGCCGGCATACTTACAGCGATAACTCCTGAGGACAAAGTTGCCAAAACCATTTTGATTGTTGTTAACAATTGGACAATTTCGCCAGTAATAATTATTCGTGCGTCGAGGGCTGGGAGCAAAGTGAAGCTGAATGAGGCGGGAAGGGCGCCTCGGATTTTTGAATCAGTGGTGTGAGGAACTAGTTCTTTTTGCATTGGACTCAGGGTTGAATTTCCCGGGCCGTACAGTCAGTATTGGCTAAATTAAAAACTAATGGCTATGATTTTAATACACTTGTAATATACATTTTAAGTAGCAGTAACTATAAATTGTATACAAAATTATTTAGCTTTTTATATTTATATAAAATAATTACTTATATACATCTTGTATAGAAAGTTTATCAGTTTTTATTGGGCTTTATAAATTGTTTGGTAAAAAATTAAAGAAAATGATTTTAAATTTTCTACTTAATTTTTTTAATTCAACCTTCTACTTCTACTTATTCAAACACATTCCACATACATATGATTTTATAAAATTTTTATACAACAAACATATGATTTAATACAATTTTTTAAGAAATTAAACTATTTTAAGGAATGTGAAAACCGTCAATTGTATTTAATTTTTAATTAACAAAAAACTTTATCAAAATTGAACAGCCACTAAACAGTGGTCACTGTACCGGTAACCATTTTCCAACACTGCAATGGTTCATTGGAACTTGTGTGCAGCCCTGGTTTTGTTGGTTTTGCACACTTTTCCCGCGCATTTTCGCACGCGTCGCCACAACAAGATCGGTGCGCAAAAAAAAAAACAAAACATATTGCAAACGAACGCCAAGGACAACAGACGCTCCCGACATGGACAATCCCAGTTCACCGCCGCCAAATACGCCCAGCGACGCCGCCGAGCGGCGCGATCTTCGAGCGGCGATGACCTCGCCGGCGGGCGACTTCGAGCCCTTCGAGAACGAGGACGAGATCCTCGGAGATCAGACGGTGCGCGACGAGGCCGAGGAGGAGGATGGCGAGGAGCTGTTCGGGGACAACATGGAGAACGACTACCGTCCCATGCCGGAGCTGGATCACTACGATCCGGCGATGCTGGACGACGAGGATGACTTCTCGGAGATGTCGCAGGGCGATCGCTTTGCGGCCGAGTCGGAGATGCGGCGGCGGGATCGGGCGGCCGGCATCCACCGCGACGACCGGGATCTGGGATTCGGCCAGTCCGACGACGAGGACGATGTGGGACCGCGGGCCAAGCGGCGGGCCGGCGAGAAGGCGGCCGTGGGCGAGGTGGAGGACACCGAGATGGTGGAGTCCATCGAGAACCTGGAGGACACCAAGGGCCACTCGACCAAGGAGTGGGTCAGCATGCTGGGACCGCGCACGGAGATCGCCAATCGCTTCCAGTCCTTCCTGAGAACGTTCGTCGATGAACGCGGCGCCTACACCTATCGCGATCGCATCCGGCGGATGTGCGAGCAGAACATGTCCTCCTTCGTCGTCTCCTACACGGATCTGGCCAACAAGGAGCACGTGCTGGCCTACTTCCTGCCCGAGGCTCCCTTCCAGATGCTCGAGATCTTCGACAAGGTGGCCAAGGACATGGTGCTGTCCATTTTTCCCACCTACGAGCGCGTCACCACCGAGATCCATGTGCGCATCTCGGAGCTGCCGCTCATCGAGGAGCTGCGCACGTTCAGGAAACTGCATCTCAATCAGTTGGTTCGCACCTTGGGCGTGGTAACCGCCACCACAGGCGTCCTGCCGCAGCTGTCGGTGATCAAGTACGACTGCGTGAAGTGCGGCTATGTGCTCGGTCCCTTTGTCCAGTCGCAGAACACGGAGATCAAGCCGGGCTCCTGCCCCGAGTGCCAGAGCACCGGACCGTTCTCCATCAACATGGAGCAGACGCTGTACCGCAACTACCAGAAGATCACGCTGCAGGAGTCGCCGGGCAGGATTCCAGCCGGTCGCATTCCGCGCAGCAAGGACGTCATTCTGCTGGCGGATCTTTGCGATCAATGCAAACCGGGCGATGAACTGGAGGTCACTGGTATTTACACGAACAATTACGATGGTTCGTTGAACACTGATCAGGGATTCCCCGTCTTTGCCACCGTGATTATTGCCAATCATGTGGTCGTCAAGGACTCCAAGCAGGTGGTGCAGTCGCTGACGGACGAGGATATAGCCACGATTCAGAAGTTGAGCAAGGATCCGCGCATCGTGGAGCGCGTGGTGGCCTCCATGGCGCCTTCTATTTACGGACATGACTACATCAAGAGAGCCCTGGCCTTGGCCCTCTTCGGTGGCGAGTCCAAGAATCCCGGGGAGAAGCACAAGGTTCGAGGAGACATTAACCTGCTGATTTGTGGAGATCCCGGCACGGCCAAGTCGCAGTTCTTGAAGTACATCGAAAAGGTTGCTCCTCGGGCGGTTTTCACCACCGGTCAGGGGGCGAGTGCCGTGGGTCTCACCGCCTATGTGCGGAGGAATCCAGTTTCCCGCGAGTGGACCTTGGAGGCGGGAGCTCTGGTCCTAGCCGATCAGGGCGTCTGTCTCATCGACGAGTTCGACAAGATGAACGACCAGGATCGCACCTCCATTCACGAGGCCATGGAGCAGCAGTCCATCTCCATTTCCAAGGCCGGCATTGTCACCTCCCTGCAGGCTCGTTGCACCGTCATTGCCGCCGCCAATCCCATCGGCGGGCGCTACGATCCCTCGATGACGTTCTCGGAGAACGTGAACCTTTCGGAGCCCATTCTCTCCCGTTTCGATGTGCTATGCGTGGTTAAGGACGAGTTCGATCCCATGCAGGACCAGCAGTTGGCCAAATTCGTGGTGCACTCGCACATGAAGCACCATCCCAGCGAGGAGGAGCAGCCGGAGTTGGAGGAGCCGCAGTTGAAGACCGTGGACGAGATCCCGCAGGATCTGCTGCGTCAGTATATCGTTTACGCCAAGGAGAACATTCGACCCAAGTTAACGGTGAGTAAAGTCATTTTTAGACCTCGCATTTTGCATATTTACCCATTTTTGGTCAGATTTTTACCAAAATATCTAGATTTTTCAAATTTAATAAATTCGAATGCATATTGAAAATATGGAAAAAAATATATGCATTAAATATGCAAAATATATGCAAACAACTATTCTGCCCCTTCTACTATTTTTGCCCCCTTCTCGCCTACTCGTTGGAAATATAAATAGGGTTTCCTTAAATTTGGGAAAAAATAAGATATCTGAGAAATGACGAAAAGAAACAAACAACTTTCTTTTTTTCAAATATGCAAACAAAAAAAATAAGCCATTAATTTTAAACTATATTTTTATTGAAACGAACTTTGGTGTTTTCAGAATTGATCTATCTTTATCCTATAAAAGTATGCAAATAAGCAAAATCCGAGGTCTAGTCATTCCAAATCTAAAAGGTTTATTTATTAACATCTGGCTTTTATTTAGAACATCGACGAGGACAAGATCGCCAAGATGTACGCCCAGCTGCGTCAGGAGTCCTTCGCTACTGGATCTCTGCCCATTACGGTGCGTCACATTGAGAGCGTGATCCGGATGTCGGAAGCCCACGCTCGCATGCATTTGCGTGAAAACGTGATGGAGGCAGACGTCAGCATGGCCATCCGCATGATGCTGGAGAGCTTCATTGAGGCGCAGAAGTTCAGCGTGATGAAGAAGATGCGCAGTACATTCCAGAAGTACCTGGCCTTCCAGAAGGACCATTCCGAGTTGCTCTTCTTCATCCTGCGCCAGCTGACCCTCGATCAGCTCGCCTACATCCGCTGCAAGGACGGACCCGGCGCCACGCATGTGGAGATCATGGAGCGCGATCTGATCGAGCGCGCCAAGCAACTGGACATTGTCAACCTGAAACCCTTCTACGAATCGGATCTATTCCGCACCAATGGATTCTCTTACGATCCCAAGCGTCGCATCATCCTCCAAATTGTGGTCGACGGCAACGCAGCTTAAGTTCTCAGTTTCCTATCATATCTCATGTAGTTAGTAGTGCTCACATCCATGTTTTGTTACCCCCATCTTTGGCATAATAAAGTTTGATATACTTGTGTATTTATATAAAACTAAAATAGTTCTTTTGATGTTAGTTAGTTATTCTTAACAAACTTTTATTGTACATAGAAATTAATCACTCATTCTCGCCCTCGATGCCCATGGCCTTGTCGAATTCCTCCTCGCTGATCTTGTTCTTTTTGAGCCGCTTGAAGAGCCGAATATCGCTGGCCAGCTCGTCGAGATCCTCCTGGCTGAACTGCTGTCGCTTCTTTCCCTTCGCAGCTCCCGCCTCTGCCTCCGCCGCCTTCTTCCGCTGCTTCTTGGCCTTGCGCAGCTCCTTCTTCGACTTGGCATCCAGTTTGGCCTTCTTGGTCTGATCCCAGGACTCCACACGCTTCTTGTGCTGCTTCTGGCCCGGCCAGCTGCCCGTTTGCTCGTACGTTTCCATTTTCTTCTGCCGTACCTGCTCTTTCTGGACGTTCTTGTAGGTGAGCTTGGCGAGATCCACCTCGAAAGTGGGCGCTATATAGCCGCCTTCCTTGTAGTTCTTCAGCTCCGGCATGCGAGGCAGTTGCAGGAGGCCGTAGGCAGTGGCCATTTTGCCCAGATCCAGATCTTTTAGCCGGAGAATAGCGCTGCATTCGTGTTTGGTGTATGCCCTCACATGGGAGACAAAAGCGCGCATTCCCTTGTCATAGATGCCCTTGTCCGCCGCCTGCAGGCGATGCAGTTGGTTCAGGATAGCTGGCAGTTGAAGAGCATCGCCCTCCTGCTCCTCGGTGGGCAGCTCATTCAGCTCCACCTTCTGGTTGATCTTCAGGAAGTGCACATAGGCATCCTCGCTGGGCAGCAGAAACACCAGAGCGTTGCCCTCGTTGCCCTGCCGAGCAGTGCGTCCCACGCGATGCACAAAACTGGAGGCAGTCGCGGGTGGATCCCACTGCACCACCCACTCGATCTCGGGCACATCCAGGCCACGCGCCAGGACATCCGTGCAGAGGAGCACGGCCTGCGGTGTGTTGCGGAACCTCTCGACCACATTGGCCCGCTTGTTCTTCATCTTGCCGTGGATTCCCAGCACTGTGCGCTTGGGCAGCAGCGGCGGCAGGGCCTCCGCCCAGTATTCCACACAGGCGCAGGTGGGAAAGAAGACCATTACCTTGCCGGTTCGCGTGGCGGGTGAGCCGAGGAAGTCCAGCAGGGCCAGGAACTTGCGTTCCGGCTCGACAATCCTGTAGAAGTTCTGCAGGCGAGCGGGCGTGTTCACAGATGCCTTCTCTTTGACCGAAACCAGTACAGGATTTCTCAAACCCGCACGGATTAGGTCCGTCACCTCGGTGGTCTGTGTGGCGGAGAAGAGTCCAGTTCGTCGCTGGCGGGGCAGGTAGCCCAGTATGTTGTTCACACTCGTTTTGAAGCCCAAGTCCAGCAGACGATCCGCCTCGTCGAGGACCAGAAACTCCAGACTCTTGACCCGCGCCGCCAAATTCAGATCGTCGCCCTTGCGCTGGAAGAGATCCTCCAGCCGGCCGGGCGTGCAGACCAGAATGCAGGGCGTCTCCTTGCGCAGCGTGGCTATATCCTCCTCGATGCTGTTGCCGCCCACAATCAGCTGTTGATTCAGATGCTCCAGATCCTCGTGCTCCAGGAATTGGGCCAGCACCTCGGAGATCTGGCGGGCCAGTTCCCTAGTGGGTGAGATGATGAGGGCACCAACCTCCTTCGGCCCCCAAGGCGTCTCCTTGTGGCGCCTCTGCAGGATTTCCAGCAGGGGCACGAGGAAGGCCAGCGTTTTTCCACTGCCCGTCACCGCCTCCGCGGATACGTCTTTTCGGGCCAGGAGCAGCGGAATGGCCGCCGTCTGGACGGGCGTCATCTGCTGGAAGCCGAAGCTCTGCACCACCTGAAGCACTGCATCCGAGAGTGGCGGTTTGTCCAGCGAGGACCACTTTTTCCGGGACATCGCAACGTATTTTGTCAACAAAACAAAAACATGTGCGCAGTAGTGTTACCGTTTGTTATTAAATTATAAGTCAACCAATCGATAGTTATCGACTTCTATTCGATTACTTCTAGCGCGTTTTAAGGAGGCCTATCGAAATTCAAAAGAATTGCATAATCCAAAAGGATCATGGCACAGCCTTGACACTTGCGCCTGCATCTCCAACACCAGCTGCCACCGCTTTCACTCACATTTCTATTTGCACCCACCCACGAGTGTCCCAAAAAAAGGCGCCACACACGCTGTTTGTTGTTCGGCTGCTTGTATGGATTCCAAATCATCCGAAAAAAGCGTGTGCCATCTGTCGCCTGGCGATGCATTTCCAAAATATTGATGCCTGCGAATAAAAAAAAAATCGGAAGTAAAAAGAGTTCGCTTTTTTTTCATTTTCATTTCGTCAACAAAATGGGATAGCGACGGGGAGGGGAATCGTGGCGAGGAGTGGAGGACGAGGTGTTTAGACCGGACCAACAGGCTAAACGGCTAAACGACCGACCGCCTTGGCAGACGCGCGTCAGACGAATTCGAGCCGGGCCCCGAAAGGGGAAAGAAAAGAGGAAAAAGTTTGGAACGCGTGTGGCCAAAAGTTAATGAAGCGTTTAAGAATTAACTTGTGGCCAAGTGGAGGCAAAAAACGCTGAACAGTTAGGGCGAGAATGTGGCTCCAGTTAAGGCTGCTCATCGGCGTCAAAGTATGAGGTTTAAAAAAAGATATAATAAGTAGTAAACATCTTTAAGCCATGCTACATTTAAATATACAGGCCTGTTCCAGTTTTCACTCGGAAGTGAATTTGTTAACATTATCGGATTTCCCTTTAACAGAACTAAATTTCCCTTTCTTGCTAGGGACATTTTATAAAATTTCCCATTGGTCCCTGCGCAGTTTTGAAAGGCTCCCGACAGAATAGTATTAAAAATTAGTGTGGGAATCATAGTATTGCAAACTGCAAGAGCATACAGAGATGCCAAAGTCGAAAAACAAAGTCCCTATCAAATGTCCCCGTTCAAATTTCACATGAAAAAATGTGGTATTCCGAGCCAAAACACTTATTTCGTTAATTAGGATAAATTATCTTTCTAATAAAAGAACCATTAACCTTATCGGATAAATTTAGAATAAGTCCCAAGGAAATTCTAACTTATATCCATACCGTGACAACTCTAGGCCATTTTTATGCCCTCTGCTCATTATGGACGCGTCGCGTTTGCATCCATTTACCGTTTAACGCGCCCAAATCCCATACAAAACTTGTAGGCGAGGGGTGAGGAGGGGAGGGTGGAAATTTGTCGCGTTACAGGGCTGGGAAGTGAAATTTATTTAAGCAGTATTAACCAGGCACGAACATTTTCTGGACCCGAAACTGATAAGAGGCTGATAAGAAGCGGGAAATATTAAAACCATTTATTGTTGATATTTACATGAACTTTATTTCGTATAGATTGGTATTTGATATATGACATATGCCAAATGATCTGGCAATAGTTCAGAATTCCGAGGATGATCCCAGCGCATAAAGAGCAGTAGCAGTTCGTTTATCCAATGGAATGGCTCGGCTAGAAAGGATCGGAAGCGAAATATTGGTCGTTGCAGCGCAGCCACATGGGCTTTCCCATCTCCATGATCTTGACGTTTGCTTCGCGTGCGCCTTTCGTCCGTTAAGGCGACCTCCTGATTAGACCGTAGATGGCCATTCCATATTCAAATGACACACGTTGACAGGCGACTGCTGGAAAAGGGCACATCTCCCTCTTTCTTGCGCACAATGTTCTTGTAGGCATTTCTGCCCCGTATCAGATTCTGTTCAGTGACGTGCCGCCGCAGAAGCTACTGCTGTCGCGGGTCGTGTCAAAGAATTAATTAAATGACTGTTCAGATCTATATATATGAACGCCTTCTGCAGATCCTTTTGCTTTCTGCCGTAATAAATGCTCAAGCAGCGTAACGTGGGATGTGGTTGCTTTCATCATTGCAGCAATGTTTCCACGCTGTTCAAATGCTGTTCTGCGATTACAATTATCAATAACAAATTATTTAAATCCATTGTTTACTTCAGCTCGCAAATGACAATAGCACAACAGCTGTCAGACGCGTTTGCCAATGGAAACACCTCACGTCCGCCTATCGCGTTGCCAATCGAAAATACCGAAAAAACCGCATAGTGGAAAAATGCCTTTACCAAATCCGAGCGGAATTTAGAACAAGGGCGGCGGATTTGCATTAATTGTCATAGCTAGAATTTGCCGGGTTGTAAGGTGCAACCACAAAATAATTATTAATAAGTCATATATGCAAATAATTTCGATTCCGATGATGCAATTAGGAACATAAAACATCAACGAATAGCATACAAATATTATTGACTTATAAAGCTATCGCGAAGTATATTTAAAGAATTAATTTTTATACTGCCGAATTTAAATCCGCCTGTCATATGCTTGGCGGAAAGTTTCCGTGTGAATTTTTCGGAAGTTAACAGAGTAACAACAGAGGGAAATTCGATTCCGTGCAGTTCTTTCGGAAGTGAGTCTTGGAACAGGTCTGGGAAATTCGAATCCGTGTGAAACTTTCGGAAGTGAAAACTAGAACAGGGCCGATAATTTAAAATAGGGATTAACAATTTAGAGATTTTTATTTTAAATATTTGGATTTAAAAAATGGGTATTTCTCGACCAATTAGTTATTATTTATAATTGTTGGTACCACTTGTGGTCACTCGAATACATTTGTACTTAATTTAAAGTTACTGAATTATAAATCTATATTTAGACTTTACTTTAAAGTAATGAAGTTATAAGTAAATTAAAAACAAAGTCTTTATAATTGATAGTGAAATCTGACAACAAACTAAGCAATTAAATCCCTTCCAAATCCTTCGCAGGAGTCACTTTGTGGATGGAGATCGTATTGGCATTGATCTATTTTCCTCATAAATATGTATTAAATTAGAGGATTTCTTTCAAATTTAATTTCTTTTGTGCTCGAGGGAATAATCAATTCAAGAACGCCTTCGAATCCCAGCTCGCTGGCGCAGATCTCTTAGGCATGTCCTTGCTGGGTTCTTTGTGTGTTTTTATTTTTTTTTGTTTGCCCAACCCTTGAAGAGATTGATTATTGTTTATATTTGTGCCCCTGCATCGCTGTGTATATCTGTATCAAATGTATGGGCATGTGAATGCAGTGCAAACAGGCGAAGGATTGTGGTCAACGCCAACGCATCCCCTTTTTGAATTGGGGCAATTAAAGTTGTTCGCTCGACTCACTCCGCTGAATAGCCACATATATGGACACGTGATAGAACCGGGGCCAGGGAAATTATCCTGCTTTCCCCGAGGACGAACCCAAGGTAATTAACCCCTTCTCGCTGGCCCTCATCTTTCAGTCCTGCGAGGGCGTTAAGTCGGACACGAGTTTCTGGTCAATTTATCAAATAATTCCACGAATTCCTGGAAATCGAAATAGAGCGATCTTCGAGCCGAGATTCAGAAATCGAAAGCCGTCTGGGAATTTGTCCTGGCGTCGGTTCGATCGCTTCTAATTATGCTAATTATGAGTTTGATTTGTGCTCTCTGTTTCCAAGTTCATTTACAGAACTTCTTGTCTGAGGCCCGTCCTTTGTTCTCTCCGAAAAAAAACATTAAACTAATTACTCTGCTCTTGGATTTTCACACATTTAGCTCTAGTTCCAATTATCCGGAACTCCTCTTCCTGCTGCAAATGGCAAATGCCGAAGGACTTTCTGCCAGGATCATTGATCATTCCGGTAATTTGCTGGGAATTTCTACTCCTTCGACAATGTCCTTAGTTACCTCAGCTACCTGATTGTAGCATTTCTTTTCAGCTCCTGTGTGGTCACTTCAGCTAACTACAAATGACATTTGCGGTTGAAAATATCAATTTCCATAAAGTGCAATTGTCACCTTAGCGACGAGACCTCCCCCAATGATCAAGAAACTGTCAGCGCTCCAACTTTATCTCGGAATTTGATTTTCAAATTAGAAAACACTAACCCGAAAGATACCTGTACAGATTCCGGCAGACAGTAGTCACTTATCTGATGGTCAATTTTTCAATTTCACTGGCTGATGTTGAGAAATTGCCCCCGGGTCCATCGATATCAGTTACGATTTACATTTCACTTTTTACATTTTTACACTACCCAAAAACAAGGTAGAACATATCAATTACCCACGATCGGTGTTTGTTGACAGTCGCACTACTGCAATGGGATAGGAATTGAAATTGGGATTGGGATCGTATGGCTGCTGGAGGATCCTTCCTAGAAAGTCATTTCTCACACTGACCGTTCTGGGATTTGTTTGTGTTTAATTTCGATTTCTTTTGTGCCCGGCTACTTGACTGCGGGCCAAGTGTCTACAGTTTTACACCAGACAGGCGACGGTGCTGGAGGTGCCAAAAGTGGCAATGGTACCTATGGGAAATGGGAATTATCATAAACTGACCTCCGCAGAATTAAGTAAAATGAAAAGAAAAGAACTGAAAAACAGAAAAACAGAAGACGAGGGCCGAAATCCTTGAAACCGTTTGAAAGTTTCGCTTTTTTTTTGGGCTCGCATCCCCTCGGTTGTTACCCTAATTTCGGCTCATCTTCATCCAGATCCAGACTCTCGGGCCCTGATCATCGGCAGCTTATCTCATCTCTCTAGCCGGCGCACGCGTGTCATCCCGGGCAGCAATCAAAGTGATATGAAAATTGCATTTGGGTTCAACAGGTTCGCAGTTTTCGATTGCTGATCGCTGTTGGTTGGGCACTTGAAAAAAATCTAAGATAATTTGTGGAAAAAAACAAATATAATGGAGATAAGATGTGGATTGAAACTGATATATAAAGTTTTAAAAAAATAGTTTTAAAGCCTTTTTACATTTTATTTTGCATTTTTTTTTAATAATTTATACAAATTAAAATATTTATTTGTTTTAATAAAAATGACAGTAAAGATTGTTGTAGTATTAGCACAAAAT